ATAAACAATAGAAATTTATTTTTTTAAGCATCTAGAGGCTTGAAATGTACATCTGGTGTACTTCTGAAGTCCAAGATCAAAGTGCCATCAAAGTCAAACTTCCCTTGAAGACTCTGGGGAGAATCATCCTTTGCTGCTGCCTTGCTGGTAGTCTTGGGCAATCCTTAGCTTGTAGCTGCTTCACCCTCTTTCTCAGCATCCATCTCCCCTGGCTGTTTTCTTAGTCGTGTCTCTGATTTCCCTTTCTCTATGGACACTGGTCATCAGTTTAGGGATTACTCAAATCCTGTATAAGCTCAATCATGACTGCAAAGACACTGTTTCCAAATAAGGTTCTAGTCCAAGATTCGAAATGTACATAGATATGGGGGTATCCTGTGGACACATTGGCTTGTTACGTCTGTGTAAGCTTTTAGGCTTGCCTCAGCCCACCCAGTGGAGCAAAGTCAACGAGCATGCAAGAGGACCTTCCATTCTCATCTCATCTCATCTGTAATCTGTACACTCTCATTCTCTCTCTCTCTCTCTCTCTCTCTCTCTCTCTCTCTCACACACACACACACACACACACACACACACACACAGTGAGTTCCAGGCCTGGCAGGGCTACAAAGTAAGACCCTGTCTTAAAAATTAAAAATAAAAAGCTAAAACACTTCTCGTGTTTTTTTTTTTTAAAAAGACCCGTGATAGCTAATTTTATGTTAAACTTAACACAAGCTAGGGTCATCAAAGAGGTGGAAGCTTCAACTGAGAAAATACCTTCATAAAGTATTTTCCCTCCTTTCTGTATGTAAGGCTGGATACAAGCTTGGAGTATATTTTTTTTTTGATGTGAGAGGGCCCAGCCCTTTGTGGATGGGGCCATCTCTGAACTAGTGGTCCTGGGTTCTAATAACAAAGCAGCTGAAACAAGCCATGGGGAGCAAGCCAGTAAGCAGCACCCCTCCATGGCCTCTGCATCAGCTCCTGCCTTTAGGTTCTTACCCTGTTTGAGTTTCTGTCCTGACTTCCTTCAATGATGAACAGTGATGTGCAAAAGTAAGCCAAATAAACCTTATCCTCCCCAAGTCGCCTTTGGTGATGGCGTTTCATCACTGCAATAAAAATCCTAACTAGAAGAGGATCTTTCCCTCTAGGTGTTGGTTCTGGACATACTTTTAATATTTACATCATATTCATAAAAGGTCACGTGGTTTCCCATTCGTACATATGTTGGTGCTGTTTGCTTTCACTATGAGGTAGAAAACATCCACTAGTGTTTTCCTCCATCTCTCCCAATTTCTATATCTTTAAGGTAAAAATACATATTTTTTTTTCAAGCTGTATGCGGGTGTTAATGCTCTCGGATACTTTTTTGGCTCTCTGACTCTCTTCCCTGGCAAGCACGCTTAACCTGTAGCTATACAGGCACTGATACATCTCTCCCAGAAAGAGAGTTTGAGGTGAAAAGAGGTATGTGAGCAGAGAGAGTCCCACCAGGTACTTAAAGGAGGAAAAAGCCAAATTCCAGTAACCTAGCAGCAAAATGGATGCTCCTGGTATGGTTTCAGTCTAAACATTCACCACACAGAGACCCACATGTTTGAACATACGGTAAGGCCATGTTAGAGGTTGTAGCACTGGGATGGAGGAAGGAGGTTCCACTGGAAGCTGGCCTTTGAAGGTTCTATGTTCTTCCTTGGTCCTACTCTCTACTTCCTGATCCATCAAGATGCAAGTTCCCACTGCCTCAGACCAAATCGCTCCATCAAGCTTTCTCCTCCGAGATGGGCTGTGTCCTCTGAAAGTGGTAAGTCCCCCCTTCCTCGTTTCCATCTGGTACTCCAACACAGCCATGAAAAAAGTAACTAAAACCAACACAGAGCAGAACTACAGATTGGAACTTCTAAAACCCCCAGAGTCCTTGAGAGGCAGGTGCCTCTGAAGACCCAGGGATCATTTTTAATGATCCCAAGTCCAAATCAGGGTAGCCTTTGAGGTGATCCAGCGGATCACCATGCTTTAATGGCAAAATACTTTAAGGCTAATATTAGAACAATTAATATTTGTGATCTTTGAAAGGCATGCATATAAATTATCATTTGTTTTCCTAAGCGGTGTCTGTGTGAAACGAAGAGTTCCTGGAATCTATGAGCCCCATAATCTACTGAACTACCCATCAATCCTGATGGGCACAATAAACAAACATCCTTAGGGAAGCCTGTGCAGTAAGATCAGAAGAGGAGAGAGTGCTTAAGGCTTAAAAGGACTGTGAGCTCCTGGAACCTCCCATGAGCCTAAGATGGATTCCAATGAATGAAACAGAGATGTGGAAAGACAGGTGCAGTGATAGGTATAGTAGAATGTTTATGTCTGGCTTAAGGCGAAATGTATTAAAGCTTTCATATCTGACTTGGAGTGAAATGTTTCAGCAAAGCCTTCACTATGTTTCGGTCAATAGCAGAGGCTGAAAAATTGCTTAAGGCTGTTTGAATCTTGAAGAAATGCTGTCTCTCTGGAAAGTCTGCACTTGGTACTACACGACAGTGTGCTGCTTCACTGACCTTGGTCCTAAGACACTCGTGGCAAACCTGGAGTTCTTACTTTCCATTATGCCTAGCCATGGTCAAAAGGGACTGAGATCTGTGTGGGTCATCTGCTCTCAGGGGCAGCAACGGCAAGATAACTTTGGTAGCTGGAACCTCTCCCAGCCCCAGTTAACCTAACATAATGTTTGACTAAAGTAACTCCAGTGAGTGTCAGTCTATTCCAAGAAGGCTGAAATCCTCTAGTCCTTCAAGAAATGAAGGTTTAGCATCTTGGTGAGCATATATATATACATTTCACCTACAACTAACATCAATCAATAGATGAGACATAGATTGGAATGAAGAAGCCTGAAAGTCCAAGCCCTGCTCAAGGGGCACAAACGACAAATTGGCTGCCTGCTAGATGCTTTTAATGTGAAGAACAAATGGCTCTGCTTATTTACTGTCTGTCCTCCATACTGGAGTAAGTGTTTTTGTCTGTCCTCCATACTGGAGTAAGTGTTTTTGTGAGAATGTAGACAATATTTGTTATTTTCCTCCATCTCTAGCATTAGGTACAAGGCCTGCTATATTGTCTGCAGAATGGCAGCCTTGGTAGTCTGTAAACTACAAGAATTTAGCATGGTAAGATGACCTTTGCCCTTACTTTAAACAAAAAGGTTCATGGGCGATGAGAAAGCTGGTGGAGGCTCCTGAGAGATGGCTCTGTTGGTAAAGATGCCTGTTGACCTGAGTTCAGTCTTCAGGGCCCACATATTAGAAGGAGAGAACTGACTTCCTGCAGGCTGTTCCCTGACTTCTACCTGCGTGCCACGGCGTGTGAGCATGCAAAACAAATTTAAGATAAATTTAAGATTAAGACATATAAAAAAGAAAGTAAGCTAATGACTACCTCTGTCTGCTATATGAAAATTTATAAGCAGTAAAATATTTAGATCTCTTAGTCATACTATTTTTTTTTTTTGCAGACAAAGAAAATGAGAGGTTAAGCAACTGAGCAAGATCTCAGAGCAAGATAATTAATAACATGAAATTCAAACTCAAGACTCAGTTTCTATTTCCCTCACCCTAGGTCTACTGGCTCACATTCATGCCTTCCAGTCATTCCTATGCTCTACTGTACTGCCAGCCTCCTTAAAGATGCTTAGGGCACTGAGACTGATTCAGTAACACTGGGGGATGCCCATATATGTGTGTAAAATGTCTCCCATAGGCTCATGTGTTTGAAAATGTTGTCCTCATTTGGTGACACTGTTTGGGAAGGTTACAGGATTTAGAAAAAGTGGTCCTTGCTGGAGGAAATGGGTCACTGGAGATGAGCATTGAGGTTTCATCACCCAGCACCACTTCCTGTCCACTCTCTGCTTTTTGACTGCAGATACAATGTAACTAGTGGACCTCTTGATTCCTACATGCCTTGCCCACCATGATAAAACGTATCTCCTCAAACAATAATCCAGAGTAAACCCTTTCTTGCTTAGGCTTCTTCTCATGGTCTCTTATCACACCAAAAAGAAAGGCAGCTAATACAGGGACCACAAATGCAGAGACCCTAACAGCTTCAAACAGAACAGTTCACATCTTCCCTACATATCCAGCCTCTACATTTCAGGTAATCACATCTCCTGGGGAAACAAAAAGATCTAGAAACTACTGTGCTGAACTGTCACTACTTTTCTTTTTAAGAGGAGAACAAGGCTGACCTTGAATTCCTGATCTTCCTGCCTCAAACTCTGAAAAATAACGTCTGAAAGTTGGTTTCTATCCTTTATTCCCATATGCACTGGTTGTGGGTTCTGATCAGTCACTTCTGTTTCCTTTATCCAATATGGAAAGTTGAATAACAGCGCTGAAATCACATCATGTTTTCTTAACTTTCTACCAAGATTAAACAAGAAAACGAAAAAAAGAAAAAAACCCAAACTAACAAACAAACAAAAAACTCATGCAATGTAGGAAAATTATTTGGAATTCTAGATAAAGTTTAAATCTATCAAAGGCAAACTAGAGAAGGCTAAATAGTTTCTTAGCTTGATGAATATAGTCACCCTTCATTATCCTAGGGAGATCTCAGTTCTAGGAGAGCCAACCCTGAGAATGCTCAAGTCTCTTTCCTATATAATATGACATACTGTTTGTACAAATCACCTCATGTTAATTTTAATGTCTAATATGACATAAATTATATATAAATTACTAGTGTACTATATTGCCTAGGGAATGAAGATAACCATGCCTAGTCCTAATATAATTTTTTAACATATTTTCACCTCATGGTTGATTAAATCTGCAGGTAATTCACTCATACAGAAGAAGCACTTTACTCAGTACTGGCTGCTTTGGCTGTTGCCTGACAGTAACATCTAAGTCCAGGACTTCTGAAGCTTACATGAGCCTGACCTTGTAGTAACCAGCACAGCCTGGAAGACAGAATTTTAGTGAATGGTCCCCAGAAGCCAAGCCACTTACCATGAGAGATGTAGCAAATGAATATACTGGTTCTCAAAGAACTCATAACTGGAAACAGTGCCTCCTGAGTCTATGGCTTGACCATTCTTATACCAAGTCACCTCTGGCTTGGGCTGACCTGATGATTAAAAAAAAATTAGAGAATATATAAATATTTTTCAAAACATTATAAATTTATAAATGGGAATTAATAAGAAGGCCTGTTAATGAGCACAATGGGATATGCTAATGAAATACAGAATAAGAGCTGCTGTCTCTAATATAAGAAACTATTTCCTAAATTATCCAAAATTAAATAATCCTCCAAAATTGTGGTGGCTCTTCAGATAAAGGCACTTGCCATTGAAGTCTGATGGCCTGAGTTCAGTTCCTGGATTCTGCATGATTGAAGGAAAAAAATAGACTCCCGTGTTGTTGAAAACCCTTTTAAATTTTTAAAATGTTTATCCCTCTGACCTCTGATCTCTGTCCTCCAAATGTATTCTGTGGTATACGTGTACCACAACACACACACACACACACACACACACACAGATAAACAAAATATATAATCAATAGCAAAGGATAATTTTTAGAGTATCCAGTAGGCAACGATGCGGGTAACATATGATTTTCAGTGCTTATGGAGTCAGAGTCTCATCCAAGAGCCTCAACCTCGGGAAATGAGTGTGTCTCATTCCATGATAGGACCGACTAACATTCCTAGATTTGGTAAACTTGATGTCATCTTGTAAATTTTATCCAACAGAGATCCAAACAATATCTGTCCAAGTAGAAAAGCTAACACTGTAGGGTTTTGCTGCTCCGTAGGATATTAACTGGCATCGCGCCCAGCCCATGTACGTTCTCCTAACATTGTTAGATTACTTTTAAGTATACAGTTTCTCAGGTTTAGTATTCCCTAGTTCTTTAACTCATTAATGAGTTGAACAAAACCTTTGATTGCTAATTTCACATCCGCACAGAGATCACTTTACCTGTTGTTTCCTTTAAAGATTTGTCTTTATTTTCAGTTACATGTTTGTACCTACCTGACTCTGTACACGGGAGTGTCAGTGGCTGAAGAAGCCAGAGGGATTCCCCTGGAGCTGTGTTAAAGTTGTGAGGCAGCCAACATCCTCTGGAATCAAGCTTAAGCAAGAGCAGTATGCATTCTTAGCTTCTGAGACAGTGGTTCTCAGCCTTCCTAACGCTGTGACCCTTTAATCCAGTTCCTCATGTTGTGGCGATCCCCCAATCATAAAAGGATGTTGTTGCTACTTCATAACTGTAATTTTGCTACTGTTAAGAATTGGGATGTAAGAATCTGTATTTTCCAATCTGTAGGGGATCCCTGTGAAAGAATCTTTTGGGGCCCAAAAGGGTCACAACTCACAAATTGAGAACTACTGTTCCAAGCCATCTCTTGAGACCTTCACCCTACCTTTTTGAAAATTACATTTTTGTGTGTACTGCTGGATCCTGCACAGATCATAAAGTGCTGACTCGTCTTATGTCAACTCGACAAAGCTGGAATCATTTAAGAAAAGGGAGCCTTAGGTGAGAAAACACCCCTACCAGATCAGCCTTTGGGCTAGTCTGTGGGTGTTTTCCTAGTTGATGATCGATGTGGGAGGTCCCAGGCCATTGTGAGTGGTGCTATCCCTCGGCTGGTGGTCCTGGGTGCTATAAGAAAGCCATGAAGAGCAAGCCAGTAAGCAGCACCCCTCCATGGAACTCCTTCTTCAGTCTCACCTCCAAGGTCCTGCCCTGACCAAGTTCCTGCCATGATTTCCCTCAGTGAGACTGAACGACCAAGGATGGCTTGAGAGTTGCAAAGTGAAATACAACCTTTCCTCCTCACGTTGCTTTTGAACATGTTTTACTACAGCAGTGGAAACCCTAACTGCCACACTAGGCCGGGGTCCTACCACTTAGCTACACCCCAAGCCCATTGGAAATTATGCTTAACAGTGCTTAAACCTGACCTGAAAGAATAAAGTGGATTTTTTTCAAACCAAGTGTTTCTATGAAGCCTATAAGGTGGCTCAGTGGGTAAAGGCACATGCTACTAAGCCTGGTGATCTGAGTTCCGTCCTTGGGACCCACATGATAGAGGGAGAGAACTAACTCCCAAAAATTGTCCTCTGACCTTACATGTAAGCTGTGGTATGCAAGTGTAAGGATGTGTGTGTGTATATATATGTGTGTATACTCATGTGTGTGTGTGTATGTATACACACACACACACACACAGAGAGAGAGAGAGAGAGAGAGAGAGAGAGAGAGAGAGAGAGAGAGAGAATGTAATGAAAAAAATGTTATCTATGGTCTATGGGTATTTTCTATGGTGTCTATGGTCATGCCACTCTGAGCATGCTCCATCTCCTTTGATCTCAGAAGCTAAGTAGGATTGACTCCGGTTAGCTCTTTGAATGGAACAAGAACAAAAATGCCATTTTCTTCCTAAAGAAAAAATCTGGAAGACCTGTCTTCTAGACAGGTCTTAGGTACGTATGAATGATAGTATCACAAAAACTGACACACCCACACTTCTTCCCTCAGAAGGAGGGTTCATTCCTCTCTGGTGATCTATTAATAACTATGTGTGCTGCTCATGGGTCAATGGAGGAATTTAACCCACACAATAGGGATTTTTTTTTCTTTCCTGTTACTAGACAAGAAAGTTTCCAGCATGTCCCAATGAGCTTTCTCGGTACCCTCCATGTCACCAAGAGTTATCAAGTGAGCTGAAAGTACCGGAAGCAAAGCTCAGTATTGAAAATGGCACCGCCATTCTGATTTTATACTGGAATGATCTTGGGGTTCATTTTCTTATTATGTCATTTTTGGCAAGCAACCCAGAGGGCTCCAAAGAAGTCCCTGTTCTCCTAAGGCTGTAGGGAGGAAAGAAGTCAGGAAGGTAAAAATCAGGAGACCTGGACCACAGCAGACCTGAGAACACTCAGGGCCCGGCTCCTTGTCTGCATGGCAAGGCTGTGAGTGTGCATTTCCCACAGTTGTGGGGTTTTCCTGCCTTTTCCTCCAGGTAGGTGCCTGAGCAGCTGCCCCCAAGACTAAGAACAGAGAGGCCCACATGTAAGCCTGTTCCCTATATCAGCAGCTGCTTGCCTCCACTTCCTACAGGTAGATGGAAACAGTCAAGAGGAACATCTCTGAAAACCACCAGAAGAAGGGGCTGTCAGGCTTCATTTCTGCCTGCTCTGCCCTGTCTCATAGCCCCACCCTCAGCCAGCTTTCTCCAGCTCCTGATTAGGAAGCACTGAGTTCCTCCTTTTTGTGTTGGGGGGGGGGCGGCTTTTCCTGGAACATTGTCACCTCACGTTGTTCATTCAGCCTGACTGAAGCTGGTTGCTTTCCTCCAGTTTCCAGGTTTTTCCCTGTGCATAGTCTAAGCCTGAACCATCAGCCTGAAACGAGACATGCATAGGGAAGTGGTATCTTGTACCTTGTAGAAGGTTCTTTTTTCTCCTGGAAACCTCACCTAAAACTTCTCCTTCCTCTCTGTTTTCCAATGCTAAGAACGGGACTTGGGGTCTTGCTAGGCAACAAGTCTACCACTGAGCCATCCTCCCCCACCCCAGCCTTCCTCTGCCTTTGCTTTTGAGCCTCTCGGTAAGTCAATGCCTGATCTATTCAGAATGATCTAGCTACTATGTGTGACACCAGTGACCAAGTCTAGGATTTGTCTAAACACACAGGGTTCTCTCACAAGACTCAGGATCAGCTTGCATTTCTCCTTCTGTCTGAAAGATCGTCAAAGATCACCGAGAGTGTGCATGGACACCCCAAACTCCAGACCAAAGACACACTTTATCTTGACTTCTGCTAACTAAGGATAGTCATTTCTCTGGCCACCATTCCTCCTTTGAGTTAGGAAGAGAAGAGGAGGGCTGGTGTCTTCATGATTTCAAGGGTACATACAATCTAAGAAAGAAGAGAATCGTCCACATAGATAAAATATCATTTACTTCTCTGTGAAGTTACTTTGTTTTTCTTCTTTATTTCTGTGTGCATATGTATCTCTCCTTCTCCCAAGCTCTTTCTGACTTTATACACACACACACACACACACTTTCTCTCTCTCTCTCTCTCTCTCTCTCTCTCTCTCTCTCTCTCTCTC